GGGGGGGGGGGATTTAAAATAAGAGCAGTTTACAATGAGGACAGATAATGGAGAATTTAAATACCCCGATAGGTGAACATCTCTCCACGAACTTGAGCAGCTGGGACTTGGCCGTACCCGGATCTCCCAGCATCAGCAGGTTGATGTCGCCCCTGCGAGTGAGACCGTCAGGCAGCCTGAGGGACGGGGAGCAGAAGCATCAGTACACCTGATGGAGGAGGTGGACCTACAGCCGCTGGAGAGATTCTGAGTGTTTGTACCTTTTCCTCGAACCTCCGAACAACAGGCAGGTGATGGCCTTTTTCAGATCGTCGCTGCCGTAGATGGAGGGAGCGATGGAGCGCGCCAGAGAGTCGTAGACGTTAGGAGACGCTGCCAGTCCTCTCAGCTCCTCCTCTTCCTGCGGAGTAACTGATCCAGTGGCACCACGTCCTGCACGAGACAAACATCACATTCGCATCTGAAGTCCTCCCAGAATGCATCACGCAGATAAAGAAGAGCTTTAATGCAGAAATTCATCTTCACCTGTTCCTTCCGTGTCCACCTGGATGCCAACCACTCGCAGGTAGGACGCACGAATGCCCACACCGGCGCTCTTCTCTCTGCCCTGGGCCTTGGCAGCAGCCATTTTTTTGATGGAGTAGATGCCCATGATGGTCACCCTGTTGCCCGGGACCACGCGGTCACACAGATACCTGAGGACAGAGAGGACAGACCCACAAGTTGTTTTTTCTCAGCAGCGGGGAGTGTAAGTTGAATAGTTTTCGTGGAGAACGTGCTCCTCACCTGTCACAGTAGAGCTGCAGGTGACGCGGCATCTCTCCATGAGGCACAGCATCCGGAGACTCCTGCAGCCGCAGCGTCTGGAAGTCGACGCAGACGCAGCGGTCGGGGATGATGAAGTACGGGTCGATGGGACACTTAACGCTGCCGGCGCCCTCACTGACAGGAGACAATTTCCAGGGAGTTAAACATGAGGAAAAATCCTCGAATCCCTAAAAATCCTCGCTGTCACACCGATCTGATCAAACTCACTTGTTGCACTTGCGCGGCAGAGCGTAGCCCTGCAGGCCCGGGGGCAGAGGGATGTTGCTGATGAGGTTGCGGCAGCCGCGACACTGCAGACACACCTTGGTGGCCTTCGCCCTCACGGCTGTGGCCGAGATGATGATGCCGTTCACCTTCACGAGACGAGACACCTGCTCGGACTGTGGGGGGAGGGGGGGAGCAACGACAGACAGAGAATGTGACCAAGCTGTTGACGATGATTGGAAGAGGGCGAAACATAAAAGGAGGTGGAGTAAGTCGTTACCTTGAGGCAGCGAATAGACGCGTGATGAGCGTCGCTCTTCACCATGACCTGGATGTCCTGCACGGTCTCCTCCCCCACGGGCCGGGGACGGGTCACTTCATCGGCTACTTCCTTTGCAGCCTCCTCCAGCTGTGAATTACAACAAACTGTCAGAGGAGAACAATCGAGGGAAAAAAATAAAGTTGTGTGGAGCTGAAGAAGCGGAGCGGTGCCGCAGACGCACCAGAGGGAGGTTCTCCGTGGGCAGCTTGTAGAGACAATCGGCCAGATCCTCTTCAAAGCTGGCGAGGTCCTCCATCTCCACCTCCACCCAGTACTCCCCCAGGGTGTAGTGTCTCTTCAGCTCATCTCTGGTCAAAACAAATACATGTCAGGGATGTTACTGAAGAAGTTTGAACTGTGAATCCTCGTATCGCTCTGAGGACTCGAAGTGTTCTCACAGGAAACATAACACGCTTCAAAATCATATGCCCACAATGCATCTCTGCATCTCCAGGGTCTATGTGAATAATCTACGTGAGACTCTTGAGATTTGTGCAGAGGTGAGAGCATCAGTCCAGATGTTACTGTTGATTAATGACGTGGGTCTGATAATTATGGACCCTACATTTCCCACAATGCAACTCTCTGTGCATATTTTCTTCGACTCCTCCTCTTACTCTGGCTTAATGACGTGAGTTTTCTTTAGAGAAGCTCATCCACGTCATTTATATAATGTGAATTATCATTATAGATTTATGTATTCGGCCTTTGCCACAGTGTGAATCCAGATGTTATCACGCGGCCTCCACACAAACACACTGTCCACACGACGCCATCACTGTTGATCCGCATCCGGAGTCTCACCTGTATTTATACGTGAATCCGGTTCGGTCGGTGCCCACTCTGAACTGCCGGAGGAACTCACGGAACCGCTTCTTGATCTGGATCCGCTTCAGTCCGCCTTCGTCCGGGCCGGTTCCCTCTCCGCCTCCGAAGCTGTCGCTGTAGTAAACTCCCGGATCATCGAAGCCAGACATCCCGGAGCAGGTCGAGCAAAACTTTTAATTCGGTTCAAATGAAGTGCGACGGACGGAAAGTGGCGGAGCACGAGCTGCTCTGTTCCGCGGCAAATTCTCAACTCTTTCCTGTCGGTTTCCCGCGAGCCGATTCTCGCGTCGCCTCCTCTTCTGACATCTGATTGGCCCAGGGCAACGTAAGCCCCCCTGTCATTGGCCGAAGCCACCCAGAGGAGGCGCGGCTTCGAGAAGAAGGCGGGGCTGTGGAGAAATTGGTGGCGCGAAAAAGACAACGGAGCCGGCTGCTATTGGCTGAAGCGACTTCGACGGGGCGTGGTTTGTTTGGTTAGAGGCGGGGTTTGTGAGCAGTGATGGCGCGAAAAGGAGAAGAAAAGCATGAGGAGGAAACATGGAGGAAGTTTTTAAATAACAAGTGAACTGAGAAGGTGAAGATGTTTGGTTCTGAAATAAAAAGACAAACTAACCCTGGAACTTAATCACTTTTATAAATTATAATGTTGATGATTGTTTTTGTCTTTTTCTGATCGTGAATCTCAACATTTCATCCATGTGTCTGTTTTCAACTTCATCTGAAAAGTAACTGAAGCTGTCACACAAATATAGTAAAAAGTATAAAGTTATATGAAGGGGCAGCGCTAATGTAAAGTACAAGTATCTCAATTGTATACTTAAGAACAGTACTTCAGTAAATGTACTTAGTTACTGACTCACAAAAGACAAATTAAGACGGACGGCAGAGAATAATCTCAGGCCGGATTGTTTTAAAAATGACATCAGCTGTTTCCATCCCATTCAAGAATAATCATAAGCTTTTTTTTTTTAATCACACTTTTGCACTTGCACCAAATACACCGCTGAAGTTTTGCACAGAAAAATATCAAACATCCAAATAAAGAAACAATAAGAAAAATGCACATTTCGAGAATCTTTAATGTTTTTTCCTTTTTTCTACGACCAGAATTTTGCAGATCTGCTGTCGCATCTCGACAAAGCAGCTCTGCTACTGAGATGATATGAGACACAACATAAGACAAATTCATTAAGATAATTAATTCAAAATATGCATCTTATTTTCAGTCATTTACA